GCTTAGTTCTCGTGCTGGAGTCCTTGCTTTCTACACTCGTGCCGCAATGCTATCTTTGTTGTTCTTCGCGTATATCTGCACGTTTCCTTTCTGCATAGTTCTTTTGAAAAACTGTGTCATGCATCATAATAGTTAGTTAGGCTATAGGGTGAATCACAGGCGCATAATTATGTTGTCCTGACTCAGGGAGTCGTAAGAGACCGACTTGTCTTGTAGCAAGAGTTGGGGGTTAAGAACTCTTGCTTGTGGGTATTGATTGGCCAGCAACATCCCTGCATGTTCCTGGCCAGGGAGTCGTAAAATACCGGTATTTTACGACTCCCTGCTCCTGGCCGTATTTCACTGCAGTACCGGTAGAAACTGCAGCCAGCTTCCTTCTGTCAGATCCATACTCTTTCTCACCGGCTGACTTACCAAACAGAGAGGATAGAATTGCTAGAGTATTATTATGTTGCAATCTTGTACATGTAGTGCAGTGTGTGTTACTTTCTCAGTCTTTCTTCATTAGTTTTTACTTGAAGGTCGTCTCCTGGCTCTATCAGTGAATTGCATTTTTGATCTGACCATGATTCTGGTTGCTCACTGCTACAAGTAGGAGTCAGCCTGGTCTTCAACACCAGCTTGTGTCATGACTCTTTGAAAGCCAGCCAGGTCTCAGTGCTGCCTGTTCTGCCTTGGAGTAGATCTTCGTTTACAGTATATACCTCGGTGTTCGCTTGATGGTGGCTCAGCGAATATGTGTCATATCGTCAGTTACCAGGTTACGGTGCTCACTGACTTGACTGCATGCGGATAGGCTCGTATCCATAGCATCAAGAGTACATAAACCAAAGGTTTATGTACTCTTGATAGCATAAAGACAAGAGTCCATAAAATATGTTTATGCACTCTTGATAGCATGGTCTTTTATTTTATTTTATTTTTTTACTAAGTACACAACCTACTCGTCAGAAGGGGAGAAGACAACAGAGTATACGATAACAAAACAGCAGGGAGTCTCCAACTAATTACTTCAGTAGCGTTTACAGGATCAGGCTCACCCACACTGCACTGGTCAGTGCAGTGCCAAGCAAGGGTCGTAACTAAAGCCCCCCCCCCCCGGACTTGAAGGGGGGGGGGGTACCGGTACGGGTGGTGGTCCCTGGTCATTACATAAAATGTTTTAGACTTTTAAACAACAGTCAACACAACGACAACAACATGCTGGTCCCAGTGCGCCACCTACTGTCTGGAGCATGCAAGCAGGGAGTCGTAAAAGCCCGACTCGTCACCATGGTCACTCCCTGGTCTGGAGCTTAGCTGTGAAGGCTTCCGCTGTCCCTTGACCTGAGCCAGTTAGCATGGCAACTATACTTGGGGACTGAGTTACAGTGAGTATACTGAGGCTGTGCGGTGAGGCATTTCACGTCTGGATGCGTGGTCTATGCCCGAGGCTATGCCTTGTTGTGCATGCGAGTGTCAAGCAGCCACATTCGCACCGCTAGCGCTAGCTACTAGTACTCGTGCAGAGTCACACGTCTGTTGTGGTGAGCTGACACTTTCATTACCTACCGGTACCGGCGCGGTACGCTCAGGCTCGTGCCGCGCCAAGGCGAAGCATTGATTCGTGGAAATGAGACCGTTGGCATAACCATTTCCGTTGACCCAGTGTCCAGCTTGCTTTTGTCAAAAGCTCGCCTCTCTTTCGACTACAGCCCTAACTATTCCTCCACAAGGAGAAAAACTGGAAGCCATTCGCGGTTCATCGACTCTACAACAAACAACAACATTCGTCACAGCAGTGGGTAAGTCCTAGCTTTTCACGAAACCTTTCTATTTTGTTAGCGTCCAGACTTCCGTTTGGACTTATACGATGTTGACGCTTCTCCCTTGAAACGTTGGTCGCGAAACGAGGACTTGAAGTCACCACATATATCACGATTGTATACCTTTGCTTTTGTTGTTGTGTAGGATTTATGCTGTACATGTATGATGTTGTTTTGTCGACAATTTCTTCGCTGCATCCGTGATGAAGTGTCGTCGGATGTCGAACGGGCGGTTTGGCGCTCGTACACAGCTGGCTCTACCGTCCACGCCGGTATTGGTACGGTTCGTCGTTGCATGTACGGAGCTGTCTGTCCAGCATATTCTAGGATGTCACAGGTTGCACGCGGATACTGAAGCCACCGACCACATGTAGCGGCGCGGAGGTGAACTGCGGCTCATCTGTGCTGACGGCAACACTGAGAGGTGCGGCGCAAAGCTAACCCAGTAAGCCAGAAAGTAACCCAGTAAGTCATCAACTTTTCGAACAAATTTCTAAAAGAGATTAGTAAATTAAATGAAGTGTCCCAATAGAACGGTTTCTATGATTTTAGAGTTTTTCAGTGGAATTGTCAGGGCGATAATAGAGAGGTTAAGATTAGGGCTCAAACGGTCACGGTTTTACCCCTAACGGTTAACTGCTAAGCTAACGGTCGGTTTAGCGGTTATAACCTATAAGCCACGGCAATCCTGCGGACTCTTTTTTAACCGTATATTTGACTATACTCATTCAAAAAATGTACCCTATTCAGTACAACGCACACATGTACATTCGCCTTTCTTTCTGTTGATCGCTGAACCTGGTCTTGAGCAAAGCACACGCCGTGTTACACGTGGCCAGATCTCACGTCTTCTCCAAATTCCATTCGTTCGTGGACCAGCATCTCGAGCGTCCATGCAATTCATGGGCAGCGTGTATTGGAACAGGCTTCCGGCAAATATTCGTTGCCATGAAGATATTCTGGGTTTCAAAGCCCTGCTGTGCCCAGATGTTCTTGACACGCTTTCTCTGTCTTGACTCATTCATCAGACATGTGCATTTTGATCTTTTGGTTTGGTCTCTAATCGACAAACTGACTTTTCTCCTCGAATACCTCAACTTCTCTATTTCTATTTCATACATCTGCTTCGTTTATTCCTTACTCTTTTCTTTCTATCTTTTTCTTTTCTTTCCCTTGTCATTTAATCACTGTCACTCACATACAAATACCGTCATAAAATATAAAACACAAGATTTTCTCATCTTTTTCTATTTCTTGTTTTTCATTAGCTTTAGCATGTTCATTCACATTCTTCATCATTTGTGAGAACTAGACCTGGTCTAGTGAGAAGGCATTCTACTGCCTGTAATTCTGGTGAAGTAAAATAAAGAAACAACAACAACAACAACTCTTGCATGCTCATTCATATACTCTCACAGCAAGAGACCAGATATGACCGAGTTGACAGCCCAGAAATTGCGTACGCGTGCGACAGCCTGCGAAAGTGCATACTTTGCAACGACCCGATACTTGAAAAATTGAATGCAAAGTTACTGCGTAACCGTTATCTTTATCGGTTAACCGTTAATTCTTCGTAACCGGTCTGCAACCGGTTAATCGGACTAACCGTTTGAGCCCTAGCTAAGATGCATGTTATTTCCGACGTGACGCGCAATTTCACGTCAAATGGGTCATCGATTGGCGTAAAACTTCGCGCCAAATTTTGACCTGAGATGTAGCTCTCTCGCAGATTTTTCCAATGCGAGTTTTTTCAAAATTGGGCCTGTATTTCTGCTTGTATTTTGTTAAAATCGTAGGTTGACAGGATTCATCTTTCAGATTTTGGAATCGAGTCGAGTCGTAAATAATATTACGAGCGCAAGGCCACTGCTAGGACATACAGTCAACTTCGCTTATAACGACACTCGGCGGGGTATCAGAAAAGTGTCCTTATTCGCGAAGTGTCGTTGTACCCGAAGTCTCATATGTATGACAGTTGGATGGGACTTTGCTCTGGGCATGGAAATTCTGTCGTTATTCACGAATTGTCGTTATATCCGCAGTCGTTATTAGCGAAGTTGACTGTAGACCACACTGGTAGACCAGTAGTGGCAGTCGAAGACAAGAGACGAAGACTGTCCTTCACGCGGCCCAGGGGTTAAAACTTATGGACTTGAGTCTTGGATCTTGATCTTGGTGGTACTGCATCAGTGTGCTCTCATCAGAGTCCTCTCTCTTCGACGCTTATCGAGAACTGTGGTTACATTTCTCAGTAGATGTAAATTCAAGAGCAGCTTCTTTCCTTTCCTCTTTCTCCTGTTTGTTAGCTAGTTGCGATACCGATTTGTGCTGTGCCATGGATACTCCGTCTGTCGTCCCCACTCAAGCTGCTACTGCACTTTCCTCAGCGTCCGACTCAGACAGAGCCGAAGTGAACATCAGGTTCAGAATCCGCCATGAACTTGAGGTGTTCCTTCACGCGATGGGACACCCTGAGATATTCGCACGCGGAAGGACGGCCCTTTGAGACGGAGTTTCTGAAGCGAAAGTCGTTCCCTGTGGATATGAAGGGCTTAGCAGGTCGGGCATGCAGAGACAGGACAATCCGCGAAATAAAGAAGTTTATGAAGGAGGACAGCAAGAACAGGAGGAAGAGTGGGACAGAGGAAGAATTAGCAGCCCAGCTAAAGACACAAAGCGTTACAACAGCAAAAAAGGCCAAAGCAAAGGCAGACAACGGAACGGAAAACGGCATCGAGATGCTGCGATGGCAAGCCTTATAGGCAGGGATAGCTCGAAGAGAAAGAAGTCGGATGCTACCATGGATAGCTCCGGGTATTCATCCATGTCGGATGGGAGGAGGAAGACAATCGTCCGAAAAGAAGAGCAAACAAACGCAGCAAGCGCAAGGGTGACGTGGCACAGGGCTTACTAGATTGGTTGAAGAGCAAGAGTAAAGCGGAGCAGGAGCAGAAGGACAAGGAGCTAAAGTTGAAGAGCAAGAGCTGCGTATTCGGGAACTTGAGTTGCAGCTCCAGACTCCCAAAGCAGTGGTAGCCAATCTCGGTAGGACAGTATTGTAAATTGATTGCGTATGAGTTCTAACTTGCTCTATGTGGTCCGAGGCTCTCTCTCTCTCTCTCTCTCTCTCTCTCTCTCTCTCTCTCTCTCTCTCTTCTCTCTCTCTCTCTCTCTCTCTCTCTCTCTCTCTCTCTCTCTCTCTCTCTCTCTCTCTCTCTCTCTCTCTCTCTCTCTCTCTCTCTCTCTCTCTCTCTCTCTCTCTCTCTCTCTCTCTCCCTCTCCCAGTATCTCTGTGTGTCTCTATATACCTCTCTGTGTCTCACTGATACCGCCAGTAATATGTTCATCATCACAGCAGTTGACCCAAGTATCATTGAACTGAATAATTTGGTCAATTTTGTGGACATTATCATGTGGTCAAATGTTATGATGGAGAATAACTTGCATGGCGATTACCGCCACGCCAAAGTATCAACAAATGAAGAAAAGGACAGGATTGGCAACTAAACATGCATACTCCAATCAGCTCCTTTCGAAACCACAAACCTTCAGGCATATGGATGTATAATTTAGACAGCACAACTTGTCTTGAGGGTATGAGAAAAATAAATAAACTGGGGAAAGCAGAGGAGAGAAAGCCCTGCAAGGTGGATAAGCCGTAGTGCAAGTACATATAAGTTCCACTGAGCAAAGGAAAGACGGCACCAAAAAAGAGTTTGCGCGATTACATGTAGGTTCGGCTTTTGTGCGTGTGTGCAATGGCGACGAGCAAGACTGAGATGAGCCAGTGCTGGCACATCGTAATGCAGAGGACTCCAAGTGTCCAAGCATAAGAACTTGCTGACACCCAGTTGCAGACATGACAGTTCACTGGAGGTAATCTTCCAAGTGTGGTGGCTTGATCCGAAACGTCCCGCTGCTAACCTGGTTTTGCCTCAAACAGGCATGGCAGTTGGTCAGCAACACTCCTGTGCGGTAGTATTTTCCCACTGGGGATAGCAGCACCTTCAGATTCTTCTTGAATGCCGTGAAAGCGAATAGCGATTGCACCCTGCCTCATTCGACAGAAACACAAAGGCTGCTCATCACGTTTAAGTTCGCTTGACCCTATGGCAGGTTGTTGCCACGGTGTGGAGTTTGAATGAAACGATGTAGGGCATACCCTTGATCAGCAAGCACAACATAGCCTGCCTGACCTTCCTCAAGTTCTTGCGTCATGTGCTGTAACATTTGGTCAGTAAGACCACTTTCTTGTAGCTTGGCCATGCCATGCCTGCGGCCCTCCATTGGCCCAAAGAGATGGGCTATGAGACCACATGGTGTCATGATTGCCTGGTACTTCAGCCGGTGCTCTCTCTTGTGCCCACTGTAGATAAGTCTTTGGTCGCAAACTGGTCTACACACTCTGTTGATTGTGCCATCAAGAAATCCCCACACATTCTGGTAAGGAGCACCAGCGACATTAACTGCATTGCAGAATGTATCAAGCCTCTCTTGGCTCAGCCCGGGGCTGTTCAAATGATGCAACAAGTGGCTCCAACGTTGATGATTGAAATCCACTGTCTTGTTGGTGACCAGCGACAACTCCGGCTCGGAAATGCCGAAGACTCTCGCAGCTCTGTCAGACTACCGGGATAGCACAGTCTTCTCAGAACAACTAGCAAGGTGAATTCGCCACAAAATACCCATCCGTTGAATGTTCTTATTCTGATCGGAATTTGGAGAGCAGTCCGCAGACGAGTGAAATGCCGTCGTCTGAATCGAAATAACTTCCTAAACTGTCTTGCACTCAGCCGGCCGTCACATCAAGAAGACCACGAGCATGGCCAGTTGTATTTCGGCGCCTTTTCCTGCGATTCAACTGCTCCTGGTGTCCGACAAGAGCAATGACGGCCACAAGTTCTTCATCGTCCAGATCATCGAAAGCTACGGCTGCAACAGCAACCACAAGAAAATTCCTCTCCATAGTAGTATCTGTAAATGGCCATGGTCATGGCATACTTCAAATAAACAAAATCAAAATGGAAACGCTAGGCTTCAAACGGCAGTCGACGGGAACAAAGTATGGTTACAAGCAAGAGTCCATAACCCACAAGCAGAGGTAAGGACTCTTGCTTCTCAGCATACGTTATGGACTCTTGTTGGAAGTAGAGTCGGGGGGGGGGGGGGGGGGACTTCCATGGGTGCAAAAGTCCAATAGTTCACGTTTACAGTACTGTCGGGCGCCGAAGAACGATCAGCAGGCTAGAATTTTACCAAGCACACCCCCCCCCCCCCACACACACACACACGTGCACCCCCCCCCCCCCCCCCACACACACACAATCGAGGCATGCACATGCCCGCCGGCCGTGCGCAAGAAAAACACATGAAAATCCAAAAAACCTAATGCGAAATTCGGATGTGGAAAGGCAAACGTACGTACGTGGAAGCGGAGTAACAAACTCCTCCCTCTCACAACGCGCGAGCAAACTAATGAGAGCTGAACTTTCGCGTCGGAAATAACGTGCATCCTAACCTCTACAATGACGTCCGATCAGATCGACCATCTCCACGTAGCTACTCCAAACTCTTCAGAACTAATCTACCCTTCCCATCGGATGAGGTTGTGGAGTTTCGTTTTTCTGAAGAGGCCAATAAGCCACCTCTTCAGAAAAACGAAACTCCTCAAAAAGTCAAAGAGTGACAATTCGAAAGCGCCATAAGTGACAGTAGACGGCTCAGCACTTTTTTTGTCTTAGTTGTCGTGGACGCTGATATCCAGACAAGCCGTTTCCGAGTCGCCATTGGTTTTTGTGTTCTCCTTCCCGTTGTGTTGATTTGGCTGCAGACGAACGACTTTCACCACTCCAATCTGAGTCGGCGTGCCGACACCCTCCATGCGCTACGAGTATGTGATTATGCACTGGTACGTGACACTGACTGTGTGTGTGCATGTGTGTGTGTGTGTGTGTGCATGTGTGTGTGCGTGCGTGTGTGTGTGCTGGGGAGGGGTAGAGGGCAAGTTCATAATATACATAATAATTATACCGTGACTGGTACATGAACGTACAGTTGTGGCCAAAGAAATCTGCCCCCCGAGTCAAAAGTAGCGCCGCGTTTGCATTTCCATTACGTCACGCACAGTACAAAAACCCATTCCAGGGTTGCACCCATAGTTCGTGGGTATGTAATGCAGTCAGCGCCCCGCACCAGACCACATACACAGAGTTGCATACTCTCGAGGTTATGTAGTCTTGACGCCAGGCATAATATGGATTCGTACTATATGCGTACCCACGGCTGCAAGGCCAGCGCCCCGTGGCCGCTTGACTTCTCACCGGGTTTCGATGGCCATAGCAGTATATGTATGAGACGATGCACCAAACTACAGCCGCGGCCAAAGAAATCCAACCCACGTGCCGAAAGCAGCGCCAAGGTTAATGCGGCCCCTGCGGCCCTCGGATCAGTTCTTGGGAACATGGATGACGTAATTGAAATGGAAACGCGGCACTACGTTTGACCCTCGGGTCGGATTTCTTTGGCCACGACTGTACATGTAGGATTTGCCGTGTGCTTCAGTACACTCTCTCACTGAGGAAGAGAAACAGAAGAAGGCAAAGGTTTGAGCATCCCACGAACTACAGCAACGGGAGTGGTCACTCGTACAGGTGTTGCACAACTATGGTCTGGCAAAGAGTCTACCCTGTACCACAGTGTACACTAAATCATGATATACCATGGTGTGCGGCCCACACGGTGCATATACCATGGTGTGCGGCCCACACGGTGCATATACCATGGTGCATGGCCCACACGGTGCATGGCCCACACGGTGCATATATCATGGTGTATATACCATGGTGCATGGCCCACACACCACACGGTGCACGACACACGGTCAGATTGAGCTCCTTTTACGGTCGAATGCTGGTGCATGCACGCTGCACTCACTGACTGTAGCTGTACTCTGCCACCGGGAGCGGCCACGGCGTAACAGCGGCTAACTTGACCATCGTATGTTGCGGTTAGTTAGTTAGAAAAGGAAGGACGGACGCCACAGTCCGCACTGCTTTCCTGGACAGGGATCGGCTTCAAAGTGGAGAAATAATAATGACTGCACGAGGCGGATAATCATGATAACGAGATACACGTAAGAGGCAATATTCTTACACTTAGACTGTCCCACGCAGCTGATGAGCACTAGATCATCAGTAGTAGATACCTACTGCTCACTGTAGCTTCTTTTCCCGGCCTGTAACTATTACGCTGTATGCACTATGTAGTGCGTACAGCGTAATTAAAAGGTGTACTTTTCGCTGGTGTGTAACTGGACCATGGAATGTATAGACCTGCGTAAAAGTCGGTTTCCGGTAAATGGTCAAGTCCATGCTTTACGTGTCATCGTTTTGAGAGATGTTCACGTCCGAGAAAGATAATGAACTGCTCCACTCTCCTTCTGGTGTGAACTTCAGCGCAGGGTGCAGGCCGTTGAGAATGTTCAAGAACCTGTTGCAGGTGTCCTCATCATCGTTATGACAGTAAATATCATCAACGAAACGACAATACATTGTTGGCCGAAGTGAAGGATCGATGGAGGATTCGCAGAAACCAACATACGTTAGCAAGTACATGACCCAACGGGGAGCCCATAGCAACTCCATCCACGTGCTTGTACATAATGTATCGAAAGAGAATTTCATGCCGGAGGTTACCATCAACATGAGCATCACAAACTCATTTTCGTCGAGCTTGGGTGGAGTGGGTGACTTATTATGTGCCGCAGCACAAATGCATTGCGCTTGTGTCGTTGGCGTTTGTAGGAAGACTTTTAGTCTTTTGCTACCTGCTGCTGCATCTGCGTCTTTGATCCTTGAGGGTGGGGACGTTCCTACGGATGCGGACATCTGTAACTGAATATAACGGGAACCATGATTTCCTCTTTTTGTTCTGCTAACTGCATCTTGTCCTGTACACGTTTCCATGTTTTGTTGTTGTGCAGTTTCACATACGTGGTAACACAGTACCACCAGCACCGAAATGATTATTCTGTTACTATGGCTTTGTTGGCAAGGTCAGAGACCTCTTGTACGGACCTCTTGCACATACGTTAATGCGCCCACTCAAAGGCATACACACAGATCTTGCGCATGATGTCGTGTTTGCCACACATGGTGCTAAGTCATCAGCAGCAGCACCCTGACATTAGCCATGTTCATTGCCAGAAAGAACTGTGTACACTCTACCTGCAGGTACGACAGTCGATCCTGAATTACGCATGCTATTACGCAACTGTCTCTTATGGTGCTGTGGTTCAATATGTATGCATAGTTTTTTAATGAATTTTGTTCTTCCAAGTTTAAGGAAATTAGAGGCCACATGCCACGACATACTGCTCTTTTCTCTCCGAAACTCAACACTTGCAAGCCAGATATGAAAGAAAGAAAAAATCATCAGTCACACCACCGGGACTCGAACCAGGGACCTTGCTATTCGCGAGCAATGCTCTAACCAACTGAGCTACAGTATGACTCTTATCCACAATGATGGTAAATCTATCCTTCTTCGATCAATATGATGCAAGCCAGATGTGAATTGATCGAAGAAGGATAGATTTACCATCATTGTGGATAAGAGTCATACTGTAGCTCAGTTGGTTAGAGCATTGCTCGCGAATAGCAAGGTCCCTGGTTCGAGTCCCGGTGGTGTGACTGATGATTTTTCTTTCTTTCATATCTGGCTTGCAAGTGTTGAGTTTCGGAGAGAAAAGAGCAGTACGTGGCATGTGGCCTCTAATTTCCTTAAACTTTGAAGATCTCCGTGAAGTCCAAATTTGAAATTGCAATGTTCTTCCAAATACAAAAAAAGGATTGTAATGCCGAACTACTTTTTTTTCTGGTCGTCCAACGATACACGCAAACCGAATTGGTGTTTTTTTGCATTTTCCCGTCTTATTCAGGTTCGATCCCTGTGGTTGTTCAGGGAAGCGCCTTGTCGTTTTTTCTATATCAATTTGTTTTGCCGTATTGGTGACCGGTTCGTTTGTGAGGTATCTATTGTCCTCACACTAATTGATTAATCCTGGTTCCCTAGATGTAGTAGTAGTAGTATTTATTATTTGACTAGGGGAGTCCCAACAGGCATGGCCTTGTTACAGGGAACCCTAGATGAATCTTTGTGAGGTGAGCAAAAGTACCAGCAGATTGTGCCTGACGACAGTTTGGAGGAAGAGTGTTCCACCGACCTGCCGCCGAGATGTGCTTCACGTTGCTGGTATACCATTCCTTCTTGCATTGCGGTTCTTCTTTTTTTGTGATTTATGGCTCGTGCTATGCCTGTGATGTGCCCATCAGTCCGTGTTTCTTTGTGTTCTTTGGCCCATGTGTTTGCTGTCAGTCCGTGTTTCTTTGTGTTCTTTGGCCCATGTGTTTGCTGCCGGATGACTGGATCATGGATTAAGTGCCCAGTACTGCTGCAGAGGTCATCGCTGTTCACGGGTGACGTCAGTTGAGCCTGGATGCCTCACCATTGCCATGAGATGAAGTACTTATTAAATTTTATTTCAGGTGGAATCCTGATAATTCGAACCTCCAAATGCCAGGAAAAAACTTCTAATTATCCGGACATTCTAATTATCCAAACATGAACCCACAACACGATATGTATGTCAAAATGCTCTCATGGTCAAGCAGAGTCGCGCTATGGACCTTAGACACAGATTTCACGGATACTGAACTGACCGGCACGGCCTGCTCATGCAAACTGAACTGACCAGTACAGTGTACAGTGTACAGTGAACTTCGAATTACACTTGGCTAACTTCGAATTATCAGCACAAATCCCACACATTTTCTATGTAAGGGGAATCCGTGGGACTTCTAATTAACCGGACATGTCCGGTTTGAGGTTCGAATTATCAGAAAAATTTATGTGGGAATCGTATTGACAGAAATCGGTCCTGGAAAAACTTCTAATTAGGCGGTATGTTCGAATTAAGCCATATTCGAATTATCAGGATTCCACCTGTAGTACTATATCCAACGGTCTCATACCTGTATGTTTAAATTTATTCTGTTCCCGCCTGTCTGTTGTGCACGAATATTTTCTGTGGTCTTTTCAGTTCCGGTCTTCTTCTCCGGTCTGTATTCTCGTTTTGTCCTCCACTTTTTCATAGGCATTAGTTCTGTTGTCGATGCGCTGTGTACGGCGTTCGCCGCTGGGTACCTCCACCTATGTTGTCGGTGTCCTTTTCCCCTGTTTGGGGAAAGGTAGAATTGGTCGGGTTTTGGACTGGCTAGAATTGGTTGGGGTTTTGGGCTGGCTAGAATTGCGGGGTTTGACTGAGGTGGCTAGGATTGGTCGAGGTTTGGGCTGGCTAGAATTGGTCGGGGTTTTGGATGGCTACAATTGGTCGGGGTTTGGGATGGCTAGAATTCCCTTCTGGAATTGGTCGGGGTTTGGGATGGCTAGAATTGGTCGGGGTTTTGGGCTGGCTAGAATTGGCCGGGGTTTTGGGCTGGCTAGAATTGGCCGGGGTTTGGACTGGCTAGAATTGGTCGGGGTTTGGACTGGCTAGAATTGGTCGGGGGTTTGGGATGGCTAGAATTGGTCGGGGTTTGGGATGGCTAGAATTCCCTTCTGGAATTGGTCGAGGTTTGGGATGGCTAGAATTGGTCGGGGTTTGGGGCTGGCTAGAATTGGCCGGGGTTTTGGGCTGGCTAGAATTGGCGGGGTTTGGACTGGCTAGAATTGGTCGGGTTTGGGGATGGCTAGAATTGGTCGGGGTTTGGGGATGGCTAGAATTGGTCAGGGTTATGGATGGCTAGAATTGGTCGGGGTTTTGGATGGCTAGAATTGGTCGGGGTTTGGGATGGCTAGGATTGGTCGGGGTTTGGGATGGCTAGAATTTTAGATTTCTTCTCCGGTAGAGTTTTCGAAGTGTTCGGCTTCTTCCTCCGGTCTCCATCCATATGACATTAGACACTGTTGCTCTTGTAACCGAATGGCGCCTAGTAGCATGCACTATGATCCGACACACCGCCAAAGACAACAACCGACCGTTCCTTCTTCGTTCTAAGATTCTGTTGAGTAAGAAAAGTGTACGGTATTATATGTGACCAAAAAGATACAGTGAAAGAAAAGCCTAGCATTAGCAAAGCATTGCAAGGCACGTTGGTTCAGCTGCACGCTAGTGCAAACATGCAGATCGACAATGTGGGCGGAAACCAAACACCACAACATTGCCAGAAACTAACTTGTTCACACCTACATACAATCATGAGTCCATACCGTGTCTGGTCTGGTTTGTTATGTTAGCAACCTAGAATGCATTGAACACATGGATTCGATCACACATTCCCCCCTGGTAACACAACAAAACAGGGAACTTGCACTAAAACGTAGAACTAAGGTTCTCCAAAGAAAAGAACAACACTCCACCAACAGCTAAACAAGAGGACAGCAAAATGCGTAATGGGTCTTGCATTTGCTAGCTTGCTCCTAACTAAGCACGCGCCAAGCTAGACTGATAACACGGCACACGTACAGTTTCAGGAGCCATAGCGCTGCGGTGGCCTAATGGCAGATCTGTCTCGCAGGGACATGCGAATGCCGCCATCCCCAATGTTGGGCTCAGGGCCTGGCAGCACTGATGCTGGCTGGTACAGATAACCACCATCTGTTGCCGCTGCACTGTCGTCCATCGGCGCTGTTGGTTGGGCCAAGTCACGGGCGACATCCCTCTTGATGATCTCCACGTTGACAATCTTCTCCGCTGAGTGTGGATCAGCAGCCCGGGTGATGACAACTGTCGACGGCGACACAACGCGAACGATGCGCCACCCAGGCTCGTACGGTGCCAGGCATTTGCGGCTCCGGGAAGGCCGACGTAACAGCACCGCATCCCCTACGCTGTACTCTGCTCCTTCGATCACGCTCTCTGTGTCGTTCCGGGAGAGCTCTTCGTTTACGAGGTCTCGCACACGTGCCGTCTTCTCTGCCAAGCTTTCAACCCAGCTTGACAAACTGAGGTCTTCTTCCTCGCGCTCGACCAGGAGGTTGCGTGGTTCCCATCCCATCATTGCGGCGCATGGCGAAATCCCAGTAGCACTGTGCGGCCGCACCCTGTAGTAGTAGAGCAGCATGCTCAGCTCTGTCTGCCAATCGCTGCTGTACTCGACCACTTTGCGGATAAGACCCAGCAGCGTGCGATTGAAGCGCTCGGCTCCCCCTTGGCTCTGAGGGTGGCGCACAGCTCCATGCCTCACATGTACGCCGAATATCGATAGCAGAGACGACACCACACAGTTAACAAACTCCGTGCCGTTGTCACATCGAATTACGCTTGGTGGGCCAAACCGGGTGCAAATACCAACAAGCGCCTCCGCGACACTGACACCATCATGGCGGGCTAGGGGTACGACTTCCACCCACCGTGTGAACATGTCCACACACACGAGGACACAATGGTAGGAACTACTGCGGCTGGGTCCCAGCTCTAACGTATCAATCTGGATGACTTCCCACGGCCTGGTTGGTAGGTCGCTTCTCGCGGCTGGAGGGTTGGGCTCTCCTCGCGACGGGTTCGCTGCACGGCACGTCCCGCAGTCTCGGACGACTTCCTGGCAGCGTTGCGCCATCTGTGGGAAATGACAGCACTTCCGAAGACTGCCCCACATGGTCTCCCAGTTACCATGTCCGGTGTTGCGGTGAGCAGCACCGACGGCTTCACTCTGCAGTGCAGTAGGCAGGACCGGTACGATCACATCACCATCGACGGGGTCCACACGACTGAGGTACAGGACGCCATCAATAACACGCAGCTGACCCTTTGATTTCTTGTACAGCTGGCTCGTCACTTGCTTTCCATCCTGTAGCTGTGTCACTGTCAGCTGCACATCCGCATCTACCGCTTGGCACCCGCGGATAGACCGCATCGACGTTGGCCCCTTCATAGAGCTTGCTGGTAGCGCTGCTGCGATTTCACCTGCTTCCTCCCGACAGGGAGGCCATGAGGTCGGCACGCGGGTGAGCCGATCTGCAACGTTCGACTCCGAGGGGACCCACTCCACGGACACCGTCATGCCAGCAGCAGCCACAGTGTCCTGAAACACCTGCAGGCGGAGACGGACGAGAGACTCGTGGAGACCCCCGACCTTCACGCGATGAGTATTCTGCGAGACCGAGCGCAACCAACCAGCAACCGTCTTCGAGTCGGTCACGATGGTCAGGTTCTTGACGTCCCACCGGATGGCCAGATCCAGCGCCTTCAGAGACGACTCGAGCTCCGCCACATTGATATGACGCTTGTCTGCTTTGTCTCGCAACCATGAACCATCCTCGACAACCTTGCCATCCTGCGTGAGCACCGTGGCAATTGCCAGGTTGGATGCGTCACAATACGCTCGCCACGTACCCATCGTTGGGTCAGCGTACCACACTCCGCTAACGGGATCATCATTGCACAGGCGGTGAACAATGTCGCGGCAACACTTCAAGACAGCATCCGGTACAGCCTGATCCCATGCCACCTCTGACGTGCAGGCAAGGCGCTTGACATACGAACACGATGGGCGCAGCCAGGCACACACAGGGTAGTGCCCAATCACTCTGCCACACCAACTAAACAGTTCGCGCTTCGTTGGTTTGTCGGGTAGCTGTAGAGACACACCTTCGCGACGCGTCCACGACACACTCCCCTCGTCATCAGCCTGAAGTTGCAGACCTAGCACACGCGCACTCACGGCTGGCTCAGCCGGTTTGGTTGGCAGGCCATACTCCAGGAGCCGCGACTTGGTGCGGTCGACGAGCTGCTCTGGGACGTAGAGATCATCCACGTAGTTGTCTACGCCAGCGAGATCACGCGTGGCCCACTTCACGATCAAGTCCATTGCCTTTGGAGCCACGGACAGCCCGAAGCCCATCCGCTCCAGGACGTACACTTCGCCACGCCACACCACGCACTGATAACGCCACAAATCGGGATGAATGCGTACTTGTAGGTACGCTTTGCTGATATCCAGCAGCTGATACGCTTGCGGAACGCCCGCTTGGCGCCACCTCCGTAGCGTCTCGCCACATGCCGGAGCGTCGGTACCAGGGTGCGACGTCAGCTTCTGGTTGAGGAGCCGGTAGTCGAGGCAGGGCCGAACTGGCGTTGATGCCTTATGCTCCTGCGTAGCAGCGAGCAGAGGCAGCACACATCTCGGCTCACCATGCTTCTCGACGTCATGCTTCACTAGCCAGCCGTTGCCGAGCCATTTTTCAACCTCATCTCCAAATAGCTGTTCCTGCTCCTTGGAGAGCTTGGATCGTGGGTACTCTCCAAGGCCTGACCCGATGCACGTAGTCGGCTCCGTCTTGTCCGCCCATTGCCACTGCACCTCCCACGCCTTGTCAGCCGTACTCCACCGGAGGATCATATCTGATGCCCGCAGCACAACATCGCCATTGCTGAGCTTCTCCACGTCCGCGTGGTGAAAGTCTTCAGCGACGGCTCGTGCTTCCGACTCGGGGCGTGATGGATGCTCATCTGGGGTGCTCGACGCCAGCACCAATGGGCATGCAGCATTGACGGTCCCGAATACAACCCCCACCAGTTCTCCTGCGTCATACTGCATATGCACACCACCCAGAGTCGCGATGCTGTTAACTCCAATCAGCACATCAGCCTCCACGACAGACAGGTCGTCCACCACCAGCATGTCAGTCTCGGTCTCACGTAGGCGAACCACAGCACTATCCAGCCGTGAGATTGTACACTCCACGACGCCACGGACATCCACCGGACTGCCATCGATCGCATTAATTGTCGATGACGTAGGCCTGATATCCAAAGCTAGGTCGGTTGCCAGGGCGCTAGCTACAAGGGAGCGGGATGCACAGGTGTCCACAGCAGCTACTACACGCTTGCTTGGACCGCCGGACCGTTTGATGTCCACAAAGATCCGTGGCAGACTGTCACCTCCACTGCTCAGGCATAACACCTTGGAGTCACCATGATCACCAGAGTGCACAGGAGCAGCGGCTGCACTCCCACCCCGCTGCTTCTTCTGCTTGAAGGCCTTGAACTCCGAACAATCTCTCATCATATGCCCAGCCTCGTCGCAGAATAAACACGTCAGCTGACTGTGTTTGGCTTGCTTGTGGCTACCGGTACCACTACTCGTGCTCGCAGGGCAGTTCCGCTTGAAGTGGCCAACTTGACCACACTTGTAACACAGGACACGTCTTGCGGAGTCGCGACCTGCACCTGCTGCAGCGGTCATCCTGGAAGAGCCTGATGGAGCCCGATCGTCTAGAGCACCGTAGCTCACTGCTGCCACACCGGGCTTCATCGATCGCTCCACGCTTCTAAGCCGCCTGACGTACTCCACGCAATCGTCGATGGTGTCCGTTTTTCCACTCATACGGAGCTCCTTCGCAAACTGAGAGGGGAGCCCGGAGAGAAACTGCCCGATCACTATTTTATTCTTCCCATCAGCATGAACCTGCTCACCAGACAAGGTGAGAAGCCTCTTCAAGTCCGCTGCGAAGTTGTCCACCGACTCGTCTCCTCGCAAGATCCTGGACGTAAACATCGAGTATGCTTGATCCGGTGCCATCCCAAAAGCGGCGGTCAGCTTCGCTTTCACATCGGCCGGCTTCTTCTTATCCGCTGCCGCCATCTCGTTCCACACGGTGAACGCCTCACCCTCGAGATAGAGCGGTAGATTCGCCATCTTCTTTTCGTCCGAGTCCCACTTCTGCAAGTCCGCGACAACTGAGAACTTCGCCCAGAATTCGCTCAGGTCGTCCCGACCCCCGCGGAACGGTCTCAAGAAGCATTCGACTTTGGCCATCTCGCACTGCTACCCAATTCGCCCGACTATTCCGAGTTACAACACAAACTCCTGAGTCCCGGGTTTCGGCACCAAAAAGTGCTGTAACCGAATGGCGCCTAGTAGCATGCACTATGATCCGACACACCGCCAAAGACAACAACCGACCGTTCCTTCTTCGTTCTAAGATTCTGTTGAGTAAGAAAAGTGTACGGTATTATATGTGACCAAAAAGATACAGTGAAAGAAAAGCCTAGCATTAGCAAAGCATTGCAAGGCACGTTGGTTCAGCTGCACGCTAGTGCAAACATGCAGATCGACAATGTGGGCGGAAACCAAACACCACAACATTGCCAGAAACTAACTTGTTCACACCTACATACAATCATGAGTCCATACCGTGTCTGGTCTGGTTTGTTATGTTAGCAACCTAGAATGCATTGAACACATGGATTCGATCACACTCTGTGTGCGCGGGTTGGGGAACATTGGAAGAGCCCATAACGAGCTGTGTAAGCTCCCCCCCCCCCCCCATTCATGCACAGTACAGTACAGATCCCCCCCCCCCCTTCATGCAACGTTACAGTTCATCTACACACACGCACCTGTGCTCGATGGAATTTGATTCGGTGATCACGTTAGCACCTGACGCCAGTACATGCAAGCAGCCCCGTGTTCGCAGGTCCGGGTTGCACAGTACTCGGCGAGACACAGACTCACCAAATCAGATTTCATTGGAGCAATGCATAATTCTATGGCTTCATTTATCTGCAATTCACTACTGACCATGTGATCTATGGAAGCAGGGGGAACCGTTGCACAATTATTGAATATAAAGTTGGTCATGTGTCACTGCACTGAGATATGAGAGAGCAATGTACATGTACTGCACTGTACAGCACTCATGTACTCAGTAGGGTCCGACCAGCCAGTAAGTACTACAGCTGTGGACAAAGAAATCCGACCAGTGAGCCGAAAGCAGCGCCATTCCTCATGCAGCTCCTGCATTTGTCGGATGAATTTTTTGGACTGCGCATGGTAATATAATATGGAATCATTGAAATGGAAACGCGGCGCTGGTTTTGACGTTCGGGTCGGATTTCTTTGGCCACGACTGTACTCTGTAGTGAACATTGCTATGCTGGCGATTCATGCATACTTTCAAGTGCAATGATTGGCGGACTGCATGTAGTGGAATTTCCATTTGCGAGTCGAACTACATGCACACTCATATCTCTCGTATTGGGACCTCCAAGTTAGTTACCTGGCACCTCAGTCTACCTGGCACCCTGTGTGTGAATTTGAGTGGAAATAGCCAAGTCATATGCCAGGTCTCTGGCCCTTCCCCATTGAAACGTACATGTACATGTATGTGATTCAGAGTTTTAAAGGACATTTATTTTGAAAGTTAGGGGCAGTGCCCGGTCTCGGACTGCTCGGATAAGCGATGTAGGACTATGAGTGTAGACTGATTATTGTGCACTTTAGAAAATGTTATGTCTGCCAGTGGTCATGTAGCAAATACGGGTTGCCATGACTTTCCTGCCCAAGGCCAAGGGAGGGAGGGCCAGCTCAGGGAAGCCTCGAGTCGAGGGTTCACCACTACCGTGATACTGTACCATTAGTTTTGTTTAGTAGTGGAATTACCAAAGCGGCTACACCATGTACACTGGCTGCAGACTGAGAATAGATCTACATACACTACAGTGCTCAGCGCTGAATGCACAGCCAGTTAGCGAGTCTACGCCGATTCAGTCTCGCTAGTAAGACAACTGTTCGTGGGGTGGACAATGGACATACAGTAGGTATCGGTTATAGCGTGGGTGTTTGAAAAACGACTTTCTATTCTTATTTCCGATATTTCTTACACACGATAAAATCAAGTGTGGCATATCATATGCATGTGCGCAGGGGCAGGAAGATCATCGTTCAATGCAACGCAGTACTTCTGTCCGTGTGGGTGGTCATAGTCCCATAAGCTTACATGTGGCTAGGCAAAATGAGTTACATGGCCACAACAGTTGAATCTGCAGCACTACGACGCAACGAGAGTCACATCAGAACGGAATTGGACAGATGTTATTACTACAGGTGATACACTTTGCACTAATCTGGCATGTTTCGCTACACAAAGTCCATTCTTAGGACCGATATATTCTACTATTGGATAAAATTGCTTGTAAGAATAAATGTGCACTTGAAATCCATGTTATGATTATGAAAACATGAGGGTTCATTCTTGTAGGCAGTATATTCTTTTACACGACCACGCTATAACCGATACGCACTGTACATACATGTGTTGTACAAGCAAAAGGCTGTTGCCGAAAGGGCCGCTATGGTCAGTATGGAAACGAAAGCAACAATAAAATTAATGACGGATCATGTGTACTCACAATCACTACAGACCAAGGTGTTGATTTCGGCAAGACAGGACATCCAACACACTGCCACTGGCTTGCTGACAGGGAAGTAATTAGTTGTTCAGCGGTCATAGCAGGTGATCCGCGACTCATTCTTAGTTGAATGTCACTGTCGCTAGGCCGGAGAAAGATCCAGTTCAGGTACAGTCAGTACTAGTGTTCGGCAGTACTCAGTACTGTAGCTACATTATTGTCGACCGGCGTGCACATGGCCTCTGCTAGCCAGGTACAGTGGAAGCATCTCAAACTCAAATTTCTAAAGAGAACATCCGGAGAAGAAATTTATTGTACTCCATTCAAGCTAGCACTGCGCTCAGTATGAGTTTTGCTTTCGAGCTTTCGATGTTTTTCTGGTGTTCAGGTGTTGCCTAACACCACGAGGCATGAACACACAGTGGCATGCACTAGGCCGAGTCCTGGGCGGTGAAACCTCGAAGTTCGCACCCATGTCCATGACATGGTTGTCGTGTCTCACCTTTTCACCTATTTCTTTTCCAGTCAGTAGTGTTGTCATCATGATCATACTCATAGCAGAATCACAGTTACTTTCCGGGTAGATCTACTAGCAGGTGAGACTGGGGCAGACTCCAAAACTGAGATAAAGGAACCCAGCTTGCGCTCGGCACACGTGCAACATCGAAGATTACAGAGTAGATCTACTGTCTGGTAAGAACTGGGGATTCAGAGTGCTATTACTACTTCAAGTACAGTACACATGGTACAAGTCATAGCCTAGGGCTAGACTGTTCCTATTTTTTCATGTAGCAATCTTGCTGGAGAGCTCATGCTTGGTAGAGCTTTGGTGGATGATGCTGAGTTCAACATCATCCGCACTGGTACAGCATAGGCACAGTTAGAGGCGCATGCAATGGCGACGGCAATAAGTAATTAGTTGTAGGCTATTGCACAGTGTCTGAAGATATAGCAGGTCAAGGTGTGTTAAATTAGAGTACACAAGTAATAAAGTATAAATATCATGTACACACGGACACACACGCACACAGCCGATGATGAATTTTCAGGATAAACACAAGTAGCACACACGGCACAGTACTGTACCGCGGTGTTTAACTTAACTTAATGAAAATGGCAAGGCTCACGTGATTAGTGTCAAAAGCAATATTCAATTCGGCAATGTTGCATAAAGTGCTTGCTGATGCCAACATTTTCTTGCTTCTAAAAATAACCTTTGTGGGGAAATGGCATTCAAAGTGGCCAGTAACTGTGGGGACTGCAGCAAACAAAAGCACCCTAAAAGAAACACATGGCTATGTCAGTATGCCTAACACTATATACCGGGCCGTTTCTCTGTCAGCACTCAAGGCAGACCACAACCACAAGGCCCTAGAGTCTTTCTTTTCTTTCTCAAGTAATAACATGACATGTACGAGTGCATGTACATGATCAAGCAACCAACCTATGCCGCTCTGCATAGTATGTCCTGGCTAGCCGGCTACAGCCAAGCTACTGCGGCCTCGGCCTCAGGCTTTCCTTCCTTGGCGGTGCAGGCACAATATGTTCTTCGTAGGGATGAAGTCTTTTAGGAACCGTTATTGCTTGCTCATTGACCTGTTGAGGTGTGGTCAGAGTAGGAGAAGGTTTCAGAACACTGTCCGATACAAGCGGCGGTAATATATCGTCACTGACGTCATTACTGACGGGACGTTGACGGATTTTTCGCTTGGCACTTCGCTCAGTTGATGGCATGGACGACGTCCTCGTCAATTTCTTCGCAACACGGCTTACAATTGAGGATTCCCTGGGATGTGTACTTTCACCGTCCGTTGTCGGCTGGTCGAGGGATTGGTGGAAGCTGGAGGCGACATGATTGCTGCCAATGTATGGCGCTGGCTGAAGTATCGCCCGATGTGGTGCAGCGGGGTCATGGTGAAGAGTGTACACGGCTCCACTTGGGCCAGCTGGTGTTAGCACCTGAGCAAGTCGGCCATGTTTCTCAACTACGACCTTGGTCGATGCGTACAGGGCTGAAGTGGACTGGCCCCGTATCTTATTCCGCTTTTCACTTTGCCCACTCGCTGTGAAGGTAAGGTCGTTGTGTTTGCCACTCAGTTCGCACACTTCATCCTCTTCTAGATCGTCTTTACTCAGCGCATTTATAGAGCGTGTCAAGTCTTCCACCGAGTCCTGGTTGTTTATCAACGGCTTTGTCCAGGAGTGGTTTGGGGAGCATGTGCTCTTGCCTGTCACAGGGGGTGCCGACGTTGGCGGTGTTGGCATGGCAGATGCGCTGGCATAGATGGCAACAGAAGCTGAGCTGGCCGCAGCACTGGATCGCTTGTTGGTGACAAGCTTGCGGCCGCTCATGCGCTGCACTCGGCGCTGGTAGTGGCCAAGAGAGTCTCTCTTTTCCTCGTCCGTCAACTTCAGCGTTCCGTTCAATGTACGCCGGATTGAGCCTAGGAGAGAAATAATACAAGCACGGATTGCAAAGTACGCATAAGCTACATGGATCCAAAAAATGCACTGAACATATTTTATCACCCCTGACCCCAGTCTCCAGATAGCTAGCCATGTCAACCTCGTTAGGTCTACTGAACCCATCCAATATGGCACTAAAACCGGATCTGATCGTCACGGATAATTAATTGGCTTTTTAGCGTTGGCTGTAACTAACTTCAAGTGTTTGTTTTTTTCATCCGTGAAAGTAGACGCATGTGCCAGGTGACAGTTTCAAAGTAGGGGAGGGGGCGGGGGTATCTGCCACTGTAAGTATAAGGACGTGTGATTGGTAGTGGAGATGCCAAAAAACATTTGTCATGCTTGGAAATTCTACAATGAAATTCTACAATGAAGTACTTGTAATACTGGTACTTTAGGGGCTCAGGTTTGAGCAAACAATATTATGTTGGTCGTCTGCACAACTTTGAGGATTTGTTTTATTTTGGGATGGGGAAAGTTCAGGTGCAGCTCGCTTCCGAATTTGAAGTACCGATGCATTCTGGAAGAAAAACCATCCACTGATCCACATGCATGTTTATTCATTAGAGGTAGGGGTATGAGTACACTTTTTCAGTTTGTTCTGAAAATAAAGTACCAGTATATACGGGGATGGTGCCTTACTGTATATTCCTGATGCAGCCCGCCGTGGCAGAGTATCACCGACACTGCTTGTGATATCTTCATTCAATGCCAGTGTTGTTGCTCTGTCAACCCTGCATGCCTGTCGTAAGAAGTCGCTCAGCCACACAGCACCCATGCGTCCCATGGCAACCAGCAGCCGATCAGTGATGCGATTCACTGGCAGGCGCGTGTGCAGGTCCTTGAGGAGCGCCTCGGTCGGACTTGGACGTTGCAGACTAAAGAACTTGACCTGCTCCTCGGTGTAGCCAAGCAGTGCCGCCAACGTGGAGTAGTCCTGATCACCCATCAACGGCCTGTCTAGGATTGCTGCCATCTGATTCACTTGCGCCTTGGTCAGTTGCTGCCATGGTGACACCAGTAACCATGGCCACGGTCCCGCTGCTGAAGAATTGCACAGCAGTGAGTCGGGCATTTTCTGCAGCACATCAACACCAGCACACGCACACGCACACGCACACACACACACACACACACACACACACACACACACACACACATACACACACACACACACACACTACTACTACTACTATAGCATGACTGCCCATTGGGCAATGTCACCCCCGGAGGGGGCCAGAGTTTGGAGTGCACCGTCATTGGCAGGACTTCTGGTGCCTCGTCAAATCTTGCTGTCGTCGGAAACGTTTCGGGCAATGCATGCAGATCAGCGGCAGTGATTCCCTATCGGCTGCAGCAAGACGTTTTCCACGGTTGCAGTTATGGCGGTTAAAACCAGCCCGGGACTTGAAGCAGCGATTGCAGCGTTGACAATGCTGGAAGCAGCAACTAGCGAGAGACGCCGTCAATGCCGTATCTGCATGTTCAGGGAGTGCAGGCTGGCAGCGATGAACTGCAAGCCCACCCTTACTACGGAACCATCGGCAGCAACTGACGCACTGTGCTGAACCACGCTGTTGGTGGACGGGAAGTTGGCGCTCAGCCAAACACTTGTGCCGTGCCTCGTCTTGAGGACGAGAGAAAGCCCGGTTGCAAGATGAGCAGAGTACGGATTTCTCTACTGCCCGAGGAGGCTGAAAAACCAGAACCTGCTCTCGCCAAGCTGACCGGTCTTGTGCGCAATCAAACCAGTTTGGAATGGACTTCGTGTCAGTAGCCACAACGTCTCTCCACCTACGCCTGGGACCGCAGAAGGGGCGCGCAGCCAACAAACGACCAAACAACAGCTGCAATGGGACACGGTCCTCCGACATCCGAGCCACATGACCAAGCCACTCTAAACGACGATGGCGCATCTTAACAGAGAGTGGCACTGGGTCACCCCAGTGACGACGTAACTGCGCAGACGTGATGCGATCGGATTGCTGCTGACTGCGAGGGATGGCTAATATTGTGCGGATGCAGCGATGATGAAAGGCATCCAAACGTCTACTATCAGCTTTCAAGGGCGTCCAGCACTCACTGCCGTACAGCAAAATGGACAAGACACAGGCCACGTATAGCTTTCGCTTACTGACTAATGACAGCGAGCGATCCAACAAGACTGGAAGAAGAGCTCCAAAGGCTTACACACACACACACACACACACACAGATTTTCTATTATTCCAGTCCTCAGTCTAGCGAAGGTGCACATTAGTACTGCAATGTGCCAAAAGGCTATTCTGTAACTAGGCTATGGATGGTCACATGTAGAATCATGTAGAATCATGGAGAGGCAATGTCGATCTACTGCTGGTTCATGCACACCGGGTCATGCTTCAAATAAGGGCTAGCATAGACCAATTGATGCAGTATGTCTGGTAAATTGGTAATGCATGTACACGTAAAAACGTCAAAAGGTTACACACAGCAAACTACAGCAAAACTACAGCCCGCAGATAGTTTTGTCATACCTTGTCCATCTTCATCTGGGCCTTAGTTGACCACTGACTGAGCAGCTCAAATGTGATGTTATCGAAGTCATCCGCCACGACAACATCTGTTCTGACACGCACCAGAGGCAATGGCAGGCAACCGTGCACTTGCCGCAATCTGAACTCTACGAACGGTGGCTGTTCTAGGTTTGGCCAGCAGCCTTCGCCATGCAGCACCTACATTGTGTGGATGTAACGAAAGAAAGAAGATATGTCAAGTTAGAGCGGCAGAGGTAGCAAGCTTTTCTTCGTGTCAAACGTCCACAAGGGCCCGGTCACACATGCACAGGCGTTCCGCTTCAGCGGCGAGGTTTTACGGCAGCGAGGATTGTGCCTCAACAGCGGAACAATGTGTGCATGGTGATAGGTCACACGCATACAGGCAGGGCAGCTCCTACTTTGACCGAACAATGAGAGTGAATAGAACTCTGGTGCAGACGGTATGGTAAATCCACGCGGACCATGAATATCTTCAACACGTTTCTACTTCATGCACATCATACGCATACACATGTATTGTAGCAAATCCATTTACAACACAATAGGGATATCAGCGAACGCACTGCGCAGCCCATCTGCGCAGGTCAGCCTGGCCCATCTACGCGCGGCCAACAAGAAAACTCATGAACACTTTCATTTTTTTGCAAAATAAATCGTGTGAAGAAGATGCACGGAATGGCTGAAAACTAGGCTGAGGAATAGTAGCATCCAGAGACTCTGAAACAAATTCATGGTCCATCGCTTCTGACAATGGCAAGGAAGACATCAGGGAGCTGATTGCAGCAACTCTCTACCAGGCGCGATGCTGGTTACTCACCAGGGCAGGGCGCTTCCATCGTGCAAGAAATGGCCGCGAGCGAGAAATGCAAGTCCGATTTTGGAACGATCCAACCAGGGAAATCTCTTGAAAATTGGCCTGAACACCTCTCATACTGGTGTTTCACGATGTGCAAACTTTCAGAGAAATCGACCGGGGAGAACGTGGTGAGTACGTGGGTCCTCCGTATCGCGTATGATTTGAATGGTCGCAGGGACAGAGGAACAGTAATTTTACGACTCCCAGCGGTGCAAACAGACCGTGGCCATGTTTTCTCTGTCGGCCGCGATCACGTTCAAAAAATCGATGACGCAATGCATGCGCAGAGGTCTGCGCAGTGCGTTCGCTGACATCCCTAGTACATGGTGTTTCTGCTGAAGCGAATCCACAGAAGCAAAATTGCAGAAGCGAGAGTGCCGCTCATAACATATTGGAGGCAGTAGCTTTGATTGTTCACTGAAGCCGAAGTTTTGCTTTTCACAGGTACCATGGTATTTTAAGCTCCTGAGGTGTCCATTCAATGGGACAGCTAATTGAGTGAATGTGTGACAGGGCCCTAAAACTCCAAGGCTTTTTAAACAAGTTCCCTTCTAGGCCTGGATCACACAGCAACACACTGACATAGCTTTGTTGTAAAATGATGTGTTGTTTTCCTGTGTGATGACATTCCCCAAACTGTCTTCGTCTAGTCGCGTGTATGTGTGATATGAGCATGCGCGATGTTGTAGTCGAGAGTCTTCTTGTCGGTCTCTTGGAGTGTACAGTAAACACCTGTAATGGCGACCACTCGGATATGGCGACCACTCGGATATGGCGACCACTCGGATATGGCGACCACTCGACCATGGCGACCACATTTCCTTGTCACGGAAGCATTCACATTCAAAACAGCTCGGATAAGGCGACCACTCGCTCAACGCGACCGACGACCACCCACCCGCGACCGCGTTGCACAGTCAGTGCTAGTACATGTAAATGTATGCATTGCATGGTGCACCATGCATGGTAGTTCTACACATCAGTGCAGGAAGTGTAGATGTACATGGTGCATGTACGACACTTGACAGGTCTGATGACCCCAGGCCAGGCACATGAGTCGTGCTAGAGTAGCATAGGAGGTGTGTGCACTGCAATACACTGATGTATCACATGTGGATATGGTCACGTGACCCACTGAACTTGGATATGAAGACCACCTGGCGGCCACTTTTTCTCGTCCCTTGAGGGATCGCCTTAGACAGGTTTCACTGTAGTCTGCGTTTCCATCATGTCAATAAAATAATAATGTAACAAACAAGTCCTGTCCTTTGTGTCCTGCGTCCCGGGGACAGAATGGCTGTGATTCCGCTACAGCTTTCTGAAATCTGGTATTTATGGAAGGCAGTAGACATTGCTGCCTTTGCCAAGACACATGGCCAAGGATCTGCTAAAACCACCCTTTGGTGCTATTTTGCCGAAAATGAGTTTTTGGCGGGAAGTTGGTCCCTGGCCATTGCCCAAACATATGGTGAAGTATTAGGCTCAAATTGTATATATTCATTGAAATATGACCCATCTTATGAAAGCTTTTGGTGCATAAAAATGCCGAAAATAATTGATATTCACACTATATTTCGTATCTGAGGCTTCATACACCTGTCATACACCTGTCTGTGTAGTGAGAAAATTATTTTGCACAGCTATCCAGTATTCTACTATGTATGTTCCGAACAAATAATTAGGACATTGGCTCTGCTTGGTCTGGTGCTGGGCAGGTGATATCTCCGCTCTCTGGGTGGCAGTGCTGACGAATCTGTTGGTGCAAGTACTTTGCACGTTGCCGTGAGATTCCAGCCGTCTGGAGCGTCACTGGCAGATGATCAGATGCCAGGCAGCAATACACTTTTGATAAAGATCACAGGCCATGTTAGCTTCTTCAATATGAGCTTTGAGTGCGTCAGTGTGCTTTAAGCGAGTTTCTGCCGTTCTTGCCCCTTATGATCTGAGACTGCAGATCGGAACAAACACCGCACACATTTTCTTTTGGTTTCATAATTATCACATCACTGCACTCACTGCTCCATATTTTCAAGAATGTAGTGATGCTTCTGTTCCTCCAGTTGGTAGTAGCACATGGCAGGTAAGTATTAGTTGGAGGTGGCCTCTGGGGGCAGCAGGCTGGGGAACTTACAGTCCAGTGATGTCACCATAGTGGTGGAGGAACTGCCTGATGTCAGACACTTCATCTGCAGGCAGTGCATTCCAGGGCAAAGAACCCTCACATGCGTGCTGAGGGGGAGCTACAGCATGCTCATGGACATCCGCGGTATTTGTTTTAGCTTCCACTCCTTTACATAATGTGCCTACATGAAAACAGTCTGGTATACTTCGTCACCATCCACTTCATAGCGATAGGTGGATCGGGACCTTTCTCCGCGCTGCATCCGTTGTGCAATGCTTCCATGGTGAGAAGTAACTGCACCGCGTCGTCTCAACACATCGAGCTTTCCAGCGACATAACAGTACAGCTCCTCGTTCGTCATTGCGAGCGCTGTGTTGCGTGCAGTGAGTAGAGTATCCGTTGACACGTTCTTGAAACAGTTGACACCGGCGCAACTGCAGCCCTTGCCTACTCGCGCCTGTACCTCTTCATCAGTACTGGGCGCCGCCTGGGCACTGGATATCTTAGGTTGGCCCTGTCGTCCGGCGGCGAGGGCTTGTGCTGGCTGTAGCGCTGGCGCCTCGTCCAAATTTTCCTCCGCATCGATCGCAAGCGCGATCGGCAGGGTCACGAGCGGAGAAGCGTCGGTCGATTCGTCATCGCTCTGGTCGTCAGAATCTTGATCTGACCACCCGAAGAACGATCTATCGTCATTTAGCAGTGCTGACGACTCCGCTACCGAGAATCCGACAACAATTTGTGCCAACGAGCGCCTTCGTCCTCCTTCCGCCATGACTGTCACCTGCGATGATGAGAAAATCGAGACGTTCTGACGTTTTCATCATTTTCTCCGAAAAATTACACAGCACCGAAGGGTGGTTTTAGCAGATCGCGGGCCACATGCCAGTGGGGAAGCCGTTTATAGCTATCAATGGCGACATGCATGGTGTAGAATATTGAAGCAGTACAGAAAGTCTGTACATGCGGTGCTGAAAGCTGTGCAGAGCTCCCCCTGTGCAGTTTCAAGCGGGGTGATAGTTGTCCACTGCTGGAATGCGCGGAGTACATATGAACTTTCATCAAGCTTTGTTGGTTTCTAAGGAAGTTTGCTAGGTTGTTCATCCAACCAGGAGCCTCACCGCTAATGTTAGCTCTGGCATAACACGCTGCTACCACTGATTAGTTTAAGTATATGTTGGTGTTTTCAAAAGATTGGCAGATTCCACCTACCCCGTGTGAGCTGCCATCCAGTGCACATCCCTCAGTGATGGAGGATATGAGAACATGTACATAGCTATGCTGAGGTAAGTGGAACGGCTGTGGCATGCCAACGGGCATCATGTTGAACTCCTTAGCATACTGGGTGATTGTCTGCAGTGGGACAAACACAGGAGGACAGTCCGTACACCTTTCTCGACATGTGGAAGAAAAAATACAAAAACTTGTTCCATACGAAAAGCTGAGCATCTAACTTAAGGAGAGACGGTGATCGGGGCATTGCCTATCAATGCAGGGGCGTCGGACATGGTACGGTCACTACGGTATTGACTGTACCACTTTTTGCCCCAGGTACCCCGTGAATCAACAAAATGCACTGATCTGGACTCTAAATTTCCAAAATTTTCGGCTCCACCATCCCTCCCCCACGAGTAAACTGTACTTCGGATGACTGACCGTACCACACTAAAATACCTTCCAACGCCCCTGCAATGGGATGTGCATGTACAGTGTATCCCGTTTCATAATCCACTATTACACTGTCAAAGATGGAGGAATACAGTGGATATGATTCTAAAGCAATCTAGTCATCATCTAGGAGAGAGACTTAGAGTCACTATCTAGGAATACGAAACACATGCACAGGTTTACAAGTGGTTATTCACTTGCCTTCACACAATGGCAAAAGCGGTCAAATACAGTTTCATTCATAATGCCGTGCACCGAGCAGTTCGGATGACTCACCTCATAATCCACAGTTCTATCTCTGTGCAGAAAGACTCTTAGAGCCCAGGTCTGGTCCTCGTCCAGTGCTGCGGCAAAATGACTCAAGCACATGCTCTTCACCCAGATACCACTGTCGCAGCGTACGGTATACAGCGCTGAGTCAGTCACGCCAAACTCCACGTAGCCCGACGGGCAGTCCCCGCCGGCAGAGCGAGCTTCCTGGCTGCACTCGACAAAGTCTGCCACGGGACCCACATCAGTCCATTCCGAGTTGGTACCATCTTCATTCAATTTGCTGGTCATAACCACCAGGTTATTCACCTAAATTAGAAACACAACAGTCAAAGAAATCAAGAGTTGAAGACAGTGTCAGACCATAGCCATGGCCACTAACACAGTACCTACAGCTACAACCCCCCCCCGCTGTACAATAAGTGATTATAACTGCAAGCCAAAAAACCCCGTTTCAACACATATCAGACCACACCAGCACGATAGCATTCAACTGACAGTGGATGAGTTTGGTAAAGAAGTTACCAGTCCAGAAACATCACTCCCGGTCGCCCATGATTTTAAACAGTCTCCATTTTTGTGATGAAGAGAGTGTGGTGTGTAGAGCATGGGACTATGATAAAGTTCCTCCTGCGTATGAGTTTTTATCAAGAGCACCAGCAGTATTACACAGTACGAACGCCTCATATCTGCATGTTGCTATGATAGGCAAACACAGGCCACAGAGATCAGCAATACTAGTACTCCGGCATGAATCATACCAGAGCTCCATTCACTGGCTCACCTCTGGCAGGGAATCATAGCCGGTTTCGTCGTTACTGTCGATATCCATCAGATGGCATGACAAGGGAACACGCACTTGGCACAGGGATGCTGAGGATGTACCGGATACTGCCGACAGTGATGATACAGTGTACACTGACGTGACTAGGGATGATGCCTGGTCTAAGTCGGGTTGATCCTCTGGGCGCGATGATGTACCGATGGTCACAGCTCCAGCTTGCGAGCCGCTCGTATCCGTGAAGGACAGTATCACTTGCATCTGCTCCGATGTGAATATGTTAGCATCACCATCAGCGGTCATGCGAGCACTCAGTACCGGAGCACGTAGATCAACATTACTCTCACCTGGCAAACTGGGCCAGAAGCTCAGGTCCATGGCGGCCATAGTGGTGTTAGAGCGCAGGGACATGGTGTTGTCGGCCATCGGAGGCAAGTTGTCGTTGTGACCGATAATGGGGAAGTTTGCACGGTCTCCGAGGTTTGGCGAGAAGCTGCTGCTGGCGCTGGTGTCCTCCAGTAGAGCAGCTGATTTCTGACTGCTCTGCGGTGCCAGTGTGCGGTGTGTAGCAGTGGCGTCCGGCGTTTGAACCTGACTGCCTTCCTGCGGCAGTGCATCACTTCCAGAGTCAGTTGCACCTTCGTTGAAATAGTTGAACTCAACCTGCGGCTGGCCAGACTCCAGTAGGTAGCTATCATTGGCGTCCACAAAGTAGTTGCCTGCAAAGTGTTTATGTGATGATGTGCCGTGGTTACTTGGCCCGCCACCACTTCTTTCGATGGCCGTAGATCCACCCCATGCCGAACTGTGCAGTCGCGAGAATCTGCCCGACCTTCGGTAGCAGCAGATATAGAAGATGAGCCACGCGACCAGGATGATTACACATGCCACCAAGACACCAATGCCCACGGCCAGGCCAATGTCGTTCTGGCAGGAGTCTGCCGACGATGCAGGAGCCGTTGGCGGCGTTGCAGGGCAAAAGCAGCCGTTATCCATGCTGATATGAGAACTAGAAATGGGAAACAAGATGGTCATACAGGCATTGGATTACTATCTACATGTATGTACACATACATGCACCGTATTTTTCAAAGTATAAGCCGCGCCCAGATTTTCGTCCCAAAATCCAGACATCTACCCTCCATATGTCCTTTTCCTTTCTACTTTTATGATTGGCTCAATACCCGAGTTGCAAATCTAACCTATTTCACCATTAATTTGAACATCGTAGTATAAGCCGCACCGATTGTTTTGGGTGAATTACTGGTAAAGTGCGGCTTATACTCGGGAAAATACGATAACACATTGGATGAAATTCATATCGCCGGCCTGGGCGAGAAGTCCATACTGTAACCTGGATAGCTCAGTGTCAAAACTGTTTACAAGGAGAAGCACTTCCCTTGACTCGCCAGGGCCGGCGCCACTGGTACGGCCGGTACGGCCATGGCCGTACCAAAAAAAAAAAAAAAAAAAAAAAACTTCCCAAAAAACGGTCCACGTGGAACGTCCAAAACCGGGGAGAAAAAGTTTCGATGTATGATTTTGTACAGGGAGTCGCCCAGAGTGCAGGATTTGCCGTCTAAATTCCAACATTTTCTGGGGGAGGACCCCCAGACCCCCATTAAACATGGCCCTTCGGCCGCACCACTCCGCGGAAGCTGCGTCCGGCCCTGCTCGCTATTGCAATACTGTTGGTTGAAGCAAGGTGGTCATGGATACAGCACACTGCAGCCTAGTACTGGCACAATAGTTTTGGCTCCACAATCTAGTGTGTCGTTACTATAATAGCTTTCATGGCTGAGGTTGTTGGTATGTCTGTTGGCTCTGGGTTCCCAGTACCCAGTAGCCGAGGCTGGTTGGTAAAGTAACTCCGACTTCACTTCAAGGTACCAGTGCATCTAGTGTCTGCTTTAACAAAGCAGCGTGCTGTCTATACTGGTTACCAGCAAGTGTAGGGTGTGCATAGGTAACTGTCTTGGCCGTTATATTATGCCAATGTACTCTGTGTGGTGTAGACCAGGTGTGCATTGGTGGTCGATTCACATGGCTTCGCCAGTTGTGTGGATTAGACAGTTATCTGGAGCAAGTCTTCATCTGTCTCATTCAGATCTTGTTCGCTATCGTTGATATAAGAGAAAATCTGTAGGTGCACATCCAGTGCATTTGCAGATTTGCGTGCTTCTCTTGCAACGGGCGTATACATGGTATATGTATGTGTGCGTATGTGTATGTGTGTATGTGTGTATGTGTGTGTGTGTGTGTGTGTGTGTGTGTGTGTGTGTGTGTGTGTGTGTGTGTGTATGTGTGTGTGTGTGTGTGTGTGTGTGTGTGTGATATGTGTGTGTGTGTGATATGTGTGTGTGTGTGATATGTGTGTGTGTGTGTGTGTGTGTGTGTGTGTGTGTGTGTGTGTGTGTGTGTGTGTGTGTGTGTGTGTGTGTGTGTGTGTGTGTGCGTGTGCGTGCGTGAGTGAGTGTGTGAGCATAACAGTATAATGGCAGTGCTGTCAGCTCTGTATTTCATTGTCCAGGACTGCACAACACACCACGACTGCACAACACAGCGGTACGCATGAAAATAGAAGCTTCATAACATTTGCTGATCAAAATGGAGGTAGTAGTGGCGTTAGGAGTCGTGAGCTTTGTTATTCGCGCTCTTTCTACCCGCACTGGTACACGTCGGTCGATTGTGCTGCATCCGCATGCACTGCCGCATTACCGGCCTGTCCATCCTAATTGCAGTTCCCAACACAGTGCCCGTCACACTGACCGACACAGGTGTATCAGGCAAGACAGGACAATTGCTCTCACTATCTCCCAGTTCACTCCCACTTCATGTAAACGTGGGCAATTGCCTATTTCCACTTTCGAAAAAGACACATCTGTGCACACACAATATTGACTGAACGAAAATTGAAGCTCACCTCGGAATAGAAGAGACACCGTTATCCACTCCTCTCAAGTCCGACACATCAACGATTCTGCCTAGAGCTCACGAAAAGCAGTTCCCGTCGCGTGTCGCTCAACATAAGCACACGTAGCTTGCGCACATCCCAGGACTCGACTGGAAAGAAAATGTCGCCTTGCACAATTTTGGTAAGATTTTGCCTAGGATGGTTTGCTGGCAAAGGCTGAAACTAGCCACGCTACTGAAACAGCTCCAGAGTTGCTAGACTCTCTGCTGGATGCCAGGTAGGTTGTATGAACCAGACCTGGCAGTGCTGGGCAAGAAGTCATGCAGTCATAGAGCGGAGGATGTGTGGCTGAATGTGACAACCGCACAGCGCAACCAGGGGTCGATCTGCTGTCGACAGTGCTACCTCTGTTGCCGACCAAGTATGGTCGAACTGAGTGCACGCCGTGGTCTAGGCTAGAATCGAAGTCGAGCCATGTAACGGCTCTGAAGCTGTATGGGTGGATCTAGAGCTACAGAGTCAGTGTGCATCACACCTCCACATGCACAGCACTTGGAAGATCACAGCGTGGTACTGGCAGTGGCAGGGCTAGGTCCTGGGTCTACACCACGTAACCACGTAACTACGGCGAGTGAACCATCGAGCAGCGCTGCAGCAGTGCAGTTTGCAGTGAAGGTGGTGATAGTCGTAGATCTACGGTAGTCCTAGATCCTCCGCACCAAGGTCTACCAAGAACAAGTAAAAGTTCAGTTGAACAACCCAAACTCTGTCAGAAACAAGTAACTTGTTAGTTAGTTGTTATCGGGGCAAACGTAACAATAATGTTGTGTTGGTAAAGAGAAAGGCAACCGTGCGGAAGTGGGGCTGCAGATACGGTATCATCACCAATGACAATGCCTCTGTACATGACTTGTAGTGATGTACGTGGATATGATGTAGGCGTTGGCGACGGGGCTGCTTCAAGAGGTCATTCGAAGAGAGAAGTTTTGAACCCCTACTCATACAAGTAGTAGAAGTACTTCGAGTGATGTACGAGTCCCTTCGCTGATCGTGTGGATACATGGACGTAGACCTCTACAGTCAGTCTATGCATGCAAGCATAGCAGAAGGATGGTGCCACCTAGTACTTCGGCCACAGTAAGCTACAACTTACAGTACAAGTACAACAGACTCACTGACTCAGTACTATCGGTGTTGCGTCGTTTTCCTGTCGTGATCGCTATCGGATGCTGAGGGAAGCACGCGTGCTTGAGAGATGGAATGAGCAACCGGTTAGCCGGTTAATCTAAGCACTTTTCTATCAATTGTCCCGCTTCACTTCACTACGTGAAGTGGCATACCATAGTAATAGTGTATGTGTCCTAACGTCTACTACTAGTACTAGTATAGCACACTGTGCACAGAATGTCAGTGCACTGCTGCTCAGTAGAGATCCAAATACGATGTCTACACACGCATACCTACTGACTCGTATAAAACACACTTACATGCATAAGTTATAGCACTATCGAGTGAAGAATGCTAAGCACTTCTGGCTGAGCGATGACCCACTCAACTAAAGTCCCTGCCTAGTTTGGGCCTTCCACAAGTTTCCAGTGTCCCACTAACTGACTTGAGAAAACAATACGGCAAGCCGAAGGTAATTACCTTACAAGTACAAGTACAATGATACTAGGGCCAAGAATAACCTTTCGCCAAGTCGCATTATCGCGCCGTAACGTTAATACCAACAAAGCGGATCTGTACAACTAAGATTGACGTGTTATCTGTGTCACCAACACATGGTGGACGGTCAGCTCTGTTACTTTACTGTCTTCTGTCACTGTCTTCTGTAGTCTTCAAGCCTGTACAATCATGTACATCCTGTTCCAGAAGATAAGGTTTAGCCTTTAGGTAATCCTTGCCAATGGTTGGGTTAGACTTAGCGCCACCATTACTAACCTTCTTAGGTTATCATGGTTATTGTAATGTTAGATAATCCATTCCCCTATACCACAGTGCCCGCACGTATATGTTTGATACGTACATGTGCGTGATTGTACTGCTACTGTGCTAGTACTAGTAGTAGTTGTAGTAGTGCATGTGGTAAGGGAAAGCAAGAAATGCTGTACTGGCTGTTGTACGAATACACCACAGAGATTAAACCGAACGCGTGGCGCCAATGCCAATAATTATGTATGAGGTCGTGTCCACGGATGGCTCCTACATCATGTATTACGCAGAAGCGACCGGGTGCGTGTCTGGGCATGGGTGGAACATGGGAATTACACTGCATTGTGTATACAACATATTGGCTGAAGAAGCAAGAACAGGATATCTAGCAGTCTAGCACATTGGAATATTGGGGGAATAGCAGGCATCCATCTATCCTCGATCCTAGCTTTCTTCCTTTCATATTTCCACTACGTCATGTACCAGTATAGTGGTGTGCAGTAAGTATTCGGATGGTGAGCCTGGAAACAGGGAAAACGGTTGGGCACAAGTTATGCGTTAGAGTCCACCGACTATACCAGATTTTTGAACAGTTAGACGTGCACAAGGTAGACCTCGACTGACAAGGAGTACTGAGACATTCCACGGCAAGGGAGTCAGCTTGAGCACAGCTCGATAGCGATAACCAACTGCCTTCCAACTTTGAAGGTTCATGGATATACTATTAGACCTAGCGATAATTCCAAAGAGGGGAAGGTAAACGCCATCAAGCCGAACACCAGCTACATTCCCAAGCACAATGGAATGCTGGCTTGGTACGATAACAGGACGGTAAGACCATTGGACAACACGGTCTAACCACAATTCGACAACGCAAGCAACAACCACCCAACTTGGGAGGCTCACTTTTATCAAGGATAAGAAATGAAAGGGAAGCTTCGCGACGCATAACTTGTGCCCCATCGTTTTCCATGTTTCCATTTAACATGTATACTGGGTTTTGAGTTGCATCTTTTGAGCGAAAAATTACCATCAGGGCCATGGCGTTGGCTATTTCTTCCCTTTTCAGGAACACAGCCCCATATTGTGTGCAACGTCATGTTACTGTGTTTCAATCTCTCGCTGAACGAAGCGTGGCTCAAAACGGAGATACGAATACTAACACAACTAGTTATTCCTTGTATCCGTGGTGCTCGTTCTCGTCCTGGTTTCCCGGTCTCCAACGTTTCGTGGATAGTCCTGTTGTGGTGGCCGAGTCTCGCCTCATTACGTAACTTTCTGATCGTGTATTATCCGTATGTTGATATGTCATTCAGAGTTATGTGTCCATCATGCTCCCATCCCTTGTCACGTCGTCACCTCCGATATTACATGGGGACTAGCGCCAAACAACTGAGGGGACAATACATTTTCTTCTGAACACATACGTTGTAGATCTGGGGACAACTTACGAATGTACAATGCCTCTGGAACAGCCGTGTGCAACTTAGATATACCGCGAGCCAGAACAGAAAATACATCATCACTCTTCAGCTCACGACAACTGCCACTGCCTGACAAAATGAAGGTAGATGGCTGACTGAAGTTGCGTTTAACTCACATCCCTTGTCACGTCGTCACCTCCGATATTGTGTCGGATGAATCATATTGCCTTTGCGGTTACGGGTCGCTCGTTCGGTAGCCAACGGTCCTGTCATCACATGTGGTGGTTTCGTCGGCGGTCTTTCTCGTTCTCTTACAACCACTTTTGTCGTCACCTCCAATGTTCCAGTTTGGGCGGCTTTTCCATTGCGCATTCTTACTTGACTGCGAGTGAACCTTCCAATCTTTGCCACGGACACCGTCTTCGGCGTCATAAGAGTAAGAGATGTGCACATGTGTGCGTGTGGGGGGGGGGGACCATCTACATGTGCCTACCATTAGGAGAAAGAAAACTGTCTGGTATAAATGCTCCATTAGAGGATAGCACGCCGGATTTCAGGCACAGGAGCAGAAAGCCAGAAAGCCAGACAGACCAGCGGAGACAGTTACGGACAGACCAGGGAGAGTACAGATATGAGAGTAAGGCTAGAACACAAGGAAGGGGAGAGAGACAAACAGTCTGACAAAAAGAGAGATCAATAGATAGATAGATAAAACAGAGAGGTTCCAGGCTGTCCAAGAGAGTGCTCAATACCGAGTGGTAGAGCTGGTTCAAACAATAAGAAGGATGAAGGGAAGGCATGCAGCATTCAATGGGCGGTACACCGCAGAGCAGCAGCTTACAGCAACAAAAGCAAAAGGTGCAACCTGTGCCTGGCGGAAAATTGGCAATCGCGCAAGCACACAAGCACCTCTCTCTCAACAAAAAGGAGTGAGCTTTTGTCAAAGTGTCGCCACGAGAATAAGGACTACCTTCGGAACTTCAAACCATCCACAGCCATCACCTAAATTAAGCAAGAGACAACCGGCTCCAGTGGTTGTCACCTTTCACCACTGCGGTCATTCACACTTTTAGATTTGCCCCATGATGCAGTCATTCACGCTTTGCACTGCCGCCATTCACAACTATTACTTTTAGATTTGCGCCATGCTGCAGCTATTTACACTTTGCTTTGTGAGTATATACACCAATACTGATCCAGATTTCTCATTACTGTTTTCTGATGATCGCTTAGTGCGTGAAACTCGGAGTAAAAACACTTTCTCTGTCCTCCTATTGTTAGATAGATAGGGAGAGAGAGAGAGAGAAAGAGAGAGTGTGTGTGTGTGTGTGTGTGTGTGTGTGTGTGTGTGTGTGTGTGTGTGTGTGTGTGTGTGTGTGTGTGAGAGAGAGAGAGAGAGAGAGAGAGAGAGAGAGAGAGAGAGAGAGAGAGAGAGAGAGAGAGAGAGGATGAGAGAGACAGAGAGAGAGAGACAAACAGACCGTGAGATAGCATGCTTTAGAGACCAAACGCAATTTTTGACAGCTCGGTGGCAATACGGTATTTATCAAGGTATACCCCAAGGGTATAGGTACTATCAAGAGTAAATGCACTAAAGGGTTCGCTCCCCACACCGGAGCTCGCGCTATTCCGCCGACTTGACTTCACACTTGACTGACTAACGACTGCCATCCAGAGCAGACGAGAAGTCCATCGAACCTTCGACTCTGCAAACCTGCAAGAAAGCACCACTCCCTGCTCAATACACAGTGCTTCGGGGAATTCACCCCTCCTCAGTTGAGCTTGAGCAGGCTGAGTGAGAACAGCTCACCGTCCACGAGCGACACTGACTCACGCTGCTATCTGGCGTTCACGAGGTGTTTGGCACGCTGGAAGCGGAGCGTCTCTGTAAGTTTGTATCCCTGGTGATGTTTGTGCCTGGAGATCACTAGTATAACTATAAGGGGTGCTTTTCAGGCACAGTCTCTTCAGGCATCAGCTAGTGTGCAGCGCAGCATCGTAGCAATGGGAGTCGACTAGTCGTTGACGGCCCCAATGACGGGGCACTAGAATGTAGGTGGGTCGACAGGCAGAATGTCCGTGGACCATCGCCAATCCTGTCGGCGGAGGTATTCGTTGACGTTGCATTTAAACTTTTGAAGATTTTTTCGAGTTGGGGCGGAGTCTAGAAAAGCTGGTGGCAGGGAATTCCACGGCTGAATTGCACAATACGGGAAACTGCGGAGAATGGCGTCTGGTGCTTGACGCCATTCCTAGCTGGTAACTGTGGCCGGTGGTCGTGTGGAGATCGTTTCGAGTGCGAGTGGCGTCACGGGGCTCCAGCCTTGGTGGGAGGACTGCTGCATGCTAGCAATTGAGTCGGACCGGTGAGGAAGTGTAATTTGTACGTGTTCGTTAGTGCAGCAGCATATCGCCGTAGGTTGATGCTCTGGAGCTCCGTCCTGGGACCTATGATGCGCAATGCACGGCGTTGGATGCTGTCTAGGCGTGCAAGATGGAAGGGAGCAGCTCCCATCCAGACGAGCGGAGTATACTCCAAAACGGGCCGTACAAACCCCTTGTACACTGCGAGGCGGCGTTCTCGGGAGAGATATTTAGTACATGACATTG